CTTTTTTTTTTTTTTTTTTTTTTTTTTTTGAGACAGGGTCTTGCTATGTAGTTCAAGTTTCCCTTGAACTCACTATATAGCCCAGGCTGGCCTCAAACTCACAGTGATCCTCCTGCCTCAGTCTCCCAAGTGCTGGGAATATAGGCATGTGCCATCACACCTGGCTAATACAGTTAATATTTGTTGATGTATTCAGGTTGTATTTTAGAATTGTAGAATGCAGAGTCTGGCCAGAAAAAGTGTTCATATTTGTTAGCTCTTGGTTGTAATTTGATGATAGAATAATCTGAAGAGTTTAAGTAAAATTAATAGCTTTTATCTTGCATCATTGAAATCAGAATATTAAATAGTGGAGCCTATGTGTCAGTACTTTCTAAGCTACTAAGTGGTTCTAATTTGCTGCCAGTGTTGAGTGAGAAGCATTGATCTTCTAGCAGTGAAATGACAAGTTTAGAGAGCTTGAATGACTCACTTGTGATTTATCCGTGTCTAATCTTCCACAAAACTAGGTCCAGGTCTTCAAATTCCCAGTCCATTTTTCTTCATGTTGAAGCAGTCAAGTTTAATATCATAAGCAGGCTCTGGATCACAAATAGGTTCCGATTTTTTTCCTTTTACTTACAAGCTTTGCAAGTAACTAAATCTTTCAAGCAAATCAGCTAATGACATATAACTCTTAGCCTATACAGGAATGTTTGACACATGTACAAGTGCTAAATGAAGCAATTAGCTTTAGATAATCTTTTTTTTTTTTTTGAGAGAGAGAGAGACAGATTTGAATGGTAAAATGGAAATTTAGTGGCTCAATACACTAAGCATTACTTTTATACTTTAGTAATTTTAAATACATTTGATTTAACACCCATTTCTGATGATTCTTTAACATTTTGGCCAGTTTCTTTCTGCCATATTTGATTTTCTAACTAGTTCCTAATACATAGTCTTCTTTTTCCTTAGGTTCTAGCCCCTCTTCCTGGAGGAATTTCACCCCAGGCAGGTGTCATCATCCAGCCTCAGCAAATCTTGTTTACAGGAAATAAGACTCAAGTTATTCCTACGACAGTGGCAGCACCTACTGCAGCACAAGCACAGATCACTGCAGCTGGTCAGCAGCAACCACAGGCACAGCCCACGCAGCAGCAAGCTCCATTGGTCTTACAAGTGGATGGAACTGGAGACACATCATCTGAGGAAGATGAAGACGAGGAAGAAGACTATGATGATGATGAAGAGGAAGACAAAGAGAAAGATGGAGCTGAAGATGGGCAGGTGGAAGAAGTAAGTTTCTAGAGAATACTTGAAAAGAGAATTTGTTCAATCATTTCCTGTTTTATTTGATCTAAGCAGATGAATTACATCCTTTTTTTTAAAGCTGTTAGGTGCTATGCAAAGTAAAACTTGAAAAGATAAAGTTACATTGCCCTAACTTTAAGTTTTTAGGTTTTTCTGGCTGTATTCACATTTGTAAAATGTAATTGTTTTACGTAGCTGATAATGAAAAAAGCATAAGTACCAAATTAAATTTTATTAATAAGGTTAATGGAGATTGGAAGTAATTCTAATTCTTGGGCTTCTGAATTTGTAACGTGACTTAAGTGTATAATTGGTAGAAAAGGTAAATGTGGTTGATAGTTTTGTTTTAGTAATTAAAAAAGACTGAAAACATTTTGAGGGGGAAGAACTCAAGAAAAACTGAAGGTAACCATTTTACTCAAAACTTTTTGGGTTTGGGTTCCTATTCCATAGTAGTTCACTTTTCAGTGTTTGTCCCTTTCCTCAGCATATATGGTATAATCTTTATCTTCGTACAAAGTTCTTCTAAATTAAGTAATTTTTTAAAGTTTATTATTAAAATACTGAATAGATAGTGTTGTTTCTAGTTATTGACTTTTTTTTTGGGTATTGGGGATCAACCTCTGGACCTTGCACTTGTGAGGCAGGCGGCGGTACCACTGAGCTAAATTCCTTGCCCGCCGATTGTTTACTCTTGGAAACAGTTTCATGGGTGTTCAGTCTTTCATATTGTCTGAGCCCAATGAATAAAGTGAACTGCCTTACGCCACATATGAAATCCATAGTGCAGTTAATATATATAAGAAACAAAACTTTAAAAAATATTTTTATTTTAACATTTTAAATAATCGCTTCTTGGCCTTTTGTCTAAGAGTAAATGTAGTAACATTTTTTTTTTTTTTTTTTGGTACCGGGGATTGAACTCAGGTCCTTGTGCTTGCAAGGCAGGCCACCGAACCACTGAGCTTAATGCCCAGCCCTGAATGTAGTAACATTATAAATAAAGAGCAACAGGGCTGGGCGTGGTAGCTCATGCCTGTAGTCCCAGCACTTGGGAGGCTGAGGCAGAAGGATCGCTGTGAGTTCAAGACCAGCCTGGACTACCTAGTGAGTTCCAGGTCAGTCTCAACTGCATAGTGGGACCCTGTCTCAAAAAACAAAAAACAAAACAAAACAAAAAAGAGCAACAGTAACATAAAACTAAAGGGATATTTGACTGTTTTTGTGGAACTACTTATCATTGTCTGGCTTGATGGAAGTGATTCAAATCTTAGTTCCCAAGGCACTGTTCAGAAGTATTTAATCTAATTTTACTCTACATATGCTTCGTCTTTGAAAAGAGTCATTCACAAATGTATTTCAGCCAAAAACAGTCATGCATAGGGTGTGATTGTGAAGTGAGCAATGCTTTTCTCTAGTGTAATAGGTCTTAATGAAAGTCTGGTAAGAAAACATGGTCAGATTTTTCTGGGTTCAATGATTGGAACTCTCCATTCCATTTGAAAATTTGCAGGTAATATATTTATGAAAATGGAGTCTGTATACACCAAAAAAAATGACATTTTCAGAATCTTGAAACTTGCTCACAAAATGAATCAAAACACAAAACAAGGCTGCATATTTTACACTATTCTCAAAACTGTTTATCAAAATGCATAGTTACTTGCCATAACTTGAGCTTGCCATACGGTATTAAGTACTGATTTATTGATTTTCACCTTGAAGATGACTTTTTTATTTTAATTTAATTTAATTTTTTAAAAGATTTTTATTTTGTTTTATTTGGGGTGATAGGGATCGAACTCGGGTCCTCGTGCTTGCAAGGCAGGCGGCAGAACCACTGAGCTAAATCCCCGGCCCCTGTCTAATGAGTGGTCTGATCTATCAGAAATGCTAAGTCAGTGAGCTATTTTTCATTTTAAAGTTCTGGCGCAAATTTTTCTTTTGAGTCTATAAATGACTTGATTTCATTTTGCAGATTATTCTTTCAACATGTTACTCCAGCTTAGCCACCTTATTTCAGAAAAAAATGATGCCCCCCCCAAGTCAGCATCCATATGAAAGAACTGGTGATGATTTCATCCCTTGACTTATGAAGCTCAAAGCTCTGACAATTCGAATGATACCATTTTTAAAACTTTTGCTCATAAATTTTTTTGATGTATGATGCAGTGATAGGACATCAACTCCTAGTTGCCAGTTACAATTCATTTATAAGTCCCTCTTTTTTAGCAACCATCTGCAGGGAATTGCCAGTAATTATAGTAGACATATTGATAAAGGTTAAAGAAAATTGCTTTAGTGGGCTGCATTATCTACAGCATTGTACAATAACAGCTAGAAAAGTTAGTATACTTCACTGATACTTGTCTGGTAATATCGTTTCTGTGTTATAGTGGAAGGTTTCCTGTGATGTATGAAACTTGTTTTTTATATATAAATGAATATAGTTATATATAAATGAGTATAGTTAGATTAGTCTTGTAATACCTGTTTTCATCTGTAACTAGTTAACTTTGTACACAAGACACTACTTCTGATTTATTGCAGTGTTTGGTCCTAGTTTTTTTATTAAGGCATTCAGTTTTGCTTTCAATTTTATGTACCTTAGTTCCAAGTTAGATCTGCAGATGTGTACATAGTTCATATTTATGTATTGCACATAATCATGCTATTCAGCATTGATGCTATATTGTATTATGTAAATAATAAAAGCCATTTACAGAGGAGGGGGATGAAGAAAATTGCTTTAATTTTTCCTGCTTCATGCAAGTCAAGAGATTTAGCTTGTCTTTTAATGGTATCAAAAAAGCCACTTCTTCAATGACATATTTGTTATCATTACCTTTAATAAAAAGTTGAAGTGTATCTATAGTATCATTACTTTGATCTACTGTCAAAGCATAAAATGTGAAATTAGCAGCTTTACTCTTGGAATCTCTTTTGATATATTGTTCTGTTTCTTTGATTGACCTGTCTATAGATGGGTGAGACACAGTGATTTTAGAAAAATCTATCGTTTATCAGGACAGATCTGGCTGGCCTTGAACTCTACTGTGTAGTCCAGGCTGGCTCAAACTTGCAGCGATCCCCCTGCTTCAGCCTCCTGAGTGCTGGGATTATAGGCATATGCAAAGCATGCCTAGTTAATATGATGCATGCTTTCTGAACATTGCTTAATAAACGTATCAGTAAATGGTTTTGAATTTTTTTGCAAATAGATTTGCTGCTGGCTTTTATAATACAATCCATTAAACATTTCTTGATACGCATTGAATTTGGTAGCATTTTTTTGCATGTAATGTCTTTTCAGATTGTAATCTTTGGGCTGGGGATTTAGCTCAGTGGTGCTGCCGCCTGCCTTGCAAGCACAAGGACCCAAGTTCAATCCCTGGTACCAAAAAAAAAAAAAGAATGCAGATTGTAATCTTTGAAAAACTGATGTAATTTCTCTACAAATTAAGTATAGTGTATTTATCATTTCTATGTCCATTTTTCATTGAATGATCAGTGATTTTTTCCTCGGGTTAATTTTTATTAGTATATATCTGTAGTATAGAGTGATTATATTCATTGTGGGGAACTGGTATATAACACATTTTAATTCTTTTTACTCCCCATTCCTTACCCTTCTCTCCCCTTCTATGTGTTAGTCCTCCTTTCCATTTGCAAAAGACCCATTTCCCTGTTTCCTGTTACTTAGCTTTCTTTTGCTGTTTAAATTATTTATACTTGGATTTCTCATGTAAGAGAAGCCATGTGATATTTAAACTTTTGTGTCTGATTTCAATTAACATTATTGTCTTGTGGTGTATCCATTTTCCTACAAATGATTGAAGTTTGTCCTTTTTATGGCATAGTAGTATTTCATTGGAGTATAAATACACTTTCTTTATCAATTTGTCTGTTGATGGGCATATAGGTCTCCTAGGATTTGGTTATGGGGAGTTTCATGTTACAAACGTGGGTCTGCACATACCACTGTAATATGATGACTGAAACTTTTTGAGAAGATATATAGAAGAGAATAGCTGGGTCAAATGGAATTTCCAGTTTTAGCTTTTTGAGGACACTCCATACTGATTCCAAGGGTTCTTTTTCTCCAAAGCCTTGCTAGTATTTATTACTATTTGATTTCTTGATGATAGCCATTCTTTCTGGGGTGAGATGGAATCTGTGTTTAAATTTGCATCTCTGATGGCCTGCGGTGTTCAACAGTTTTTCATAAAATGAGAAATGAAGTTGAAATCTGTACAGGTTTACAGTTATATAGCTGAACTGCTTTAATGTTGATTTCTTATTGAAATTTCATTAACATTAGAAAATCATTAGATGAAATCTGATTAACAATCCTGTACTGCCTCTGTGGTATATATAAAAGTGCATTTGATACTTGGTATTTGAAGAGCATCAAAGTCATTTTATCTCTTCATTCAGTGTTAGAGGGAACGCAATAGCAGCACATGCAATTTACTTATAAATTTTTTTCTCAACTGTAGGAGCCCCTCAATAGTGAAGACGATGTGAGTGATGAGGAAGGGCAGGAGCTCTTCGACACAGAAAATGTTGTTGTATGCCAGTATGATAAGGTAAGCGCTTCATCTTCAGGTCACTGATGCACTTGTTTTGTTCATTTGTACCAGGGATTGAACTCAGGACCTTGTACTTAAGCAAGGCAGGCGCAGTACTATTGATACTATTTTTGTTGTAATTCTTCTCTAAACTCTGCTTTCTGCCCAATGAATGAAACATTTGGGCCACTAAGTAATGACTGTCTTAAACTTCATAATGTGAAAATGTTAGCATATCATCGGTTATTTTTAACAATAAAACTAATTTTTCAGTTTTAAAAAAGTTTAGACTATTTCATTTTATAAACAGCTGTTTAGAATTTTTCCTTTAACACTGTCTTAATAACATAATCTGTTTTTCATTAGCTATAGCAGTCTGGACCAAGGAGTTAACTTAGTGGTGCCACCACCTGCCTCACAAGTGGAAGGTCCTGAATTCAAATCCCCATTGCCCCCCAAAAAGCTACAACAATCTCAAAGCTAAAAGGATTTAATTAAAATCTGTAACTTACATTTATTATTGTGAAGAGTAGAACAATAAACAGGACTGAAAATGACAGGAGTTTTACTGAAAATTATTTAAAAATTTTATGTAGCTTTTCTGTAATTTGTAATATGGAATTTTAAAAACCAAATTCTATGAGATTTAACTGTTTTGTTTTTTTTGAGGCAAGGTCTCTCTTTGTAGCCCTTGCTGGCCTCAAACTCACAGAGATCCTCCTGCCTCTGCCTCCCAAATGCTGGGATTACAGGCGTGTGCCACCATGCCCATCTGCAACTATTGATTCTTTATGTTCCTAGTTCTTACAGTGCTCTTTCCAAGGATTTTGTTATAGTTACTGGAAATTAGAGATGAACTTTCCTGATACATACAGAGCAAGACTATGAGGTTAAAATAACAAGTGCTGATAAACCTTTTTTGGTCTGGAACTCTCAAGGGAATTGGCTTGTAACTAAATTATACCCTTAAATGAAGTAAATAAGTCACACATGTAAATACTGAATAGTTTCTCTGGTGTGAAAAACCATAATTGTAAATAAGATCCTATGGTTTAATTGACAATGGGTAATAGGAAGAAGAGGGCTAAAGGTGTAGGGGACGTGGGAAGGGTAGGGGAAAGGAAATAAGGGAAAAGAAAAAAATATGAGAAAATGGAAATAAAGTTTTTTTAAATAGGGAGGGGGTAAAGGGAGGGCAGAGGGTATGGGGAAAAAATGAGAGCCAAGACCTGTCACGTAAAGGTACACGATCCCAATGATGAATGTAACTGTACTGTATACCTAAAATGTACCAATAAACTCAATGAGAAAAAAAAATTACAGTTTTATAATAACAAAATGTAAGATTTAGCAAGAGAGGATCTTTATCTTAGGTTGACTAGGGAATCTAGTTCTGAGTATTTTCCTATGAATTTAAGTATTTTCCTGTTACTAGAGAATGGTATAATTTCCTCTTGATATACTGTACACATAATATTTGAAATCTTAAAATTGGTTTGTTTTGCTACCAGATCCATTACTTCAGTATTTTAAACTAGCACATGGAAAATAGCTTTAAGTAGTACCTTGAATCATAAACAGTTTTAAAAACTTTAGAAGTATAATTTTATTTGTCTTGTTTGTGTGTGTTTTGATTTTTAAGATTTGGTCTTTTCTATCTTTCTGTGTATCTTTCTTTTTTTGGCATGGAACTGGGGATCAGACTTAGGACTTTGTGCTTGGTAGGCAGGCACAGCACTACTGAGCTAAATCCCTGGCCCAAGAATATATTTTTGTTGTTGTTCTGTCTTTTCTTTGAGGGAATTGCTGGGGTTTTTTAAAATTTTGTTTTGTTTTATATTTTTTTTCAAAAGTCTAATTTTAAAAATTAGAAAAAATGAAAGTAGAGGGCTTGATGTTTTCCTCATAGTAAATGGTAGTGTGTTCTCTTGATTGGTTGAAACAAGGTTGAATATGATTTGAGCCTACTTGAATTTTAGGAATTTAGTTTTGATGCCTAAACTTTAAATTGTCAGTAAGTTTTTGAGGAGAAAACAGAAGGAATGATAAGATGTCAGTCAAATCAGTCTGTTAACTAAATGCTGATAATGCGGTAGACTTCTCAAGTGTAGATAGATGATGAATGCTATAACATTTGGTGAAAATAACAGTGTAGAGGCTTCAGCTTTGCTTATAGGTAATTTTACTTTAATGTGATTTCGCTGGAAAATGTAAGAGGCTTTTCTCTTGGCATTTGGGATATTCCTTCATGAAGGGCTTATGCTAGTAAATGAATTGCTTTTCAGATTATACTTTGTACCTTTGTTCAAATATGAATATTTACCATTTGTTGCCTGTCATGACTTCAGTTCTGAGCACTTGAACTACTACATATAAACCATGAAGCTTTTCTACATTTGGCTTGAACCAAGTTACCCTTCAGTAAAATGCAGTCAATTTCCTTACTTTTCTGGGAATTCCTATTTCCTGGGTACTCATCACTTAGTTTGCCCTATAAAATGTTTCTGTATTTCAGGTTTCATTCACTTGGTTCATACTGGAAATACTCATATTTAGAATAATACTTCATAGGGAATTTCTTAAGGGAGACTCAGATCTTTTCATTTAGATGCTTACTGAATTCACAGGAGCTTGAGATACACTAGTGAGCAAAAGGAAACAAAAGTTCCTTGTTGGGAAGATGTTAAAACAGAGTTGACTTACTGATATGGCATAGTACCATCTGATGGAAAAATACTCATGAGAAGGGAAAGGGGACACAGGTTTCAGTTTCAAATAGAATAGTCATAGTTAAGTAGGTCTTTTGTGTAGATAACATTTAAGCATACAGCCCGGTCTGGTGGCAGAGTCTGCTTGTTTTGTGTGAGTAGCAGCCAGTGCAGCTAAATTGTGGAGAGAGGGGGAGTTGTAGACTTAACACAGAGAGGCAGACATAGGTCTCTATAAGGACATGGGCTCCTATTCTGAATACATGGGGAAAGTTTTGGAAGGTTTCAAATGGAAAAATGGTGTGATCTGATTTAAGTTTGAAGAGGATTACTTTGCCACCTTTGTTGAATGTAGAGTGTGGAGATGTGGAGAGGAAGCAAAGGTAGAAACCAGGAGTCTAGAGATGTAGTGCAATAATCCAAGTAAGAGACAGTGACTCAGACTGGGGTGGTATTTATTATTAAAGTGATGAGGGGTAGTTGGGTCTTAGATTTTTTTTTTTTTTTTTTCCAAGTAAGAGTCAATAGAATTTCTTGCCTCTTTGTTGTATGATAGAGGTGTGGGGAACAAAAAGAATCAGAAATGAGTCCAGGGTATTTCACTGAGGAACTGGATATGAAAACGATATTGCCATTGACTCAGATGGAAAGGGGCTGTACTTGGAGCAGGGTTAGGATAGGGAGTTCAATTTTGGACGTGTTAAGTGTAGTATGTCCGACATTCCGTTCACCCACTATAAGATAGCAGATTTAATGTCTACTTTGTTGAGATCAGATCTATAAAAGATTGCTTAATCTGTGGATCTCTCTGCCATCTGTTCTTGAAACCTTTTTTTGTGTTCATGCTCTTAATAAAAGCTTGAGTCTAGAGGAAGAACATGAGTGATTTTCAGATACATGTAAGGTTTCGGTAGTTTTTTAAGTTTCAAAAGGCAGAGTAGAATCAGTAAGTGGAAGTTAGAGAAGGCAGATTTCAGTTGGGGCAAGTACAAAAGACAAGAAATCTGTCCCCAAAATTAATAACTTAATTTGGAATTCTTTTTCCCCTACTTTGAATCATATTGAGAGAGACACTGAACAACCATTGGCCAAGAATATACTATGGAGAGAATGTTTGTACTGAGAGGTAAGGTGTGGGATTTTAGGATGGGGATCTCAGAATGTATCAGTACCGGGTGAGTAGTTCTGCATTACTAAATGAGGAGTTCTGTGTTAGGTTTTGAGAACACTGTACAGGGAGTTGGATTTTGATTAAAAAGAATGTACTAGTTTCAAATGAACTACTTCAGTGAACACAAGTCCCAAGAGCTATAATACTAATTACGAACAAATTTATTTCTTAAAATCCATTCAGTGAGAGACTTTTTAGGGCAGAGGTGGTCAAATTAAACTTAGCAAATTGGAAGTACAATATTGTATAATATGAAGTGGAATTTTTATGAATGGATTTTTTGTATTTGTATCTCGTATTCTAATTTTGTTTCTGTCTATTTAGATACACAGAAGTAAAAACAAATGGAAATTTCATCTTAAGGATGGCATTATGAATCTTAATGGAAGAGATTATATATTTTCCAAAGCCATTGGTGATGCAGAATGGTGAAGAGTTGCTGCTTTTCTTTTATAAATAAAAGAAACTTAAAAAAATTTAAAGTGGATGGTTTAAAACTTGGACATATACCAACCAAAACTTCACTTCTGCATGTCAGAAAAGTGCAGTAGAAGAAAAGCTACTGGAACAAAGATAGACCTTGACAACATAGACACTACTTCTAACTGGCAAGCCATGGAACTGTAGTACCTGGAGTTGTTGGGGTGGGAGGTTGGGTTTTGTGTAGGAAAATCATAATTGTCAATTTTAAATACAGGAACTTGGCACCGGTAATTAGCATGTAAAGCTTTGTCTATACTCCTTCCTCCAACTTGTGTTCAATTAGAAGACACTTGTTGGAATGAACTGAAGAAACTTCCTTTTGATAGATTGAAATGAAACTGCTTATTGTATGTGGTTATATTTGGTAAAAATTATGTGTGAGCTTTTTACAAAAGGGTAAGAATTACGGTGTTGAATTTTAATTCACTTGTATAAGAAAACAATTTAAAACTCTCATAGTAGGTCTTAAAATTTTTTACCTGTTATTCTCCCTCAGTAATATATACCTCTTCCCTGCTTTATGAAACATCTATTTAAGAGTTTAAAGAAGTGTAATCAGTGGTGACAGTTTGGAGACAAAATTTGACCCAGAAATGGGTATTTATTTTAATTAGGTTTTCATACTTTAAAAACTTGAGTTTTAGTTAAGTGAAATTAAAGTAACAACTTTACTTACAGAAAAACTGTTTAGTCCTATACTTTAAACAGAAACCCCTAATTGGTTCCTCAGGAATACATTTTTATTTCTTAACGATATCATCTGACTAAAATTGTATGTATTTGAGTATATGAAGGTTTTTCTTGTTGGGCTGAAGTGTATGCTTATATATGCATTTAGTCCTTAAATGTTCAGATATCATTCTGTACATTGAAGCATAAGGACAGGTGGTGAGGACCTGGATTTTTATTAAACAATTTAGTAATTATAAAAGTTTCTTGTGTTTACTAGTAAAGAATTTAAAAACTTATTATTTTAATTGAACAAGTTTTTTAAAAGCAACTTTGTAATTTGAGGGGGACATGGGGGGGGTTGAGGGAGGTGGGCCACTGAGTACATATTTACCTCTCTTTCACTGGGTGGCTCATCCAGGCCATTGATAAGATAGATTTGGGCTCCAGTTTGCACATTGGGAAGAAGCATAGAAATTTGAGTGTATAGTAAAAGAAATTTAGTATGTATATTAAGAATGCAAAGCTCTGTATTTCTGTAAGGGCTTTTGAAGAACAATTTGGCAGTATTTTCTTCAGCTGCCTGGGAGAACTGCAGAAACACTCTACTTTTGTGTTCTCAGAACTAATTTGATTTCTCATGGTTTTTCTTGATAAAATTCATAGGTGTTTAAGTCACTTGTATATTGATTTTTTTGTCTTCCAATTTTGTCTTATTTGCCTTTATGTGTTTCCAGAAGTTAGAGTAAAGTATATTACAGAGGAGGAAACTGTGAGGTAGTGTATTTTATTTTCAACACAAATCTTTCTAAAAGTCTAATGAAAAAAAAAATTTTTTTTTTTTTTGTCTACTTCTTACCCCTCTTACCAACCTGATCTTTTTAATTTTAAATTTTGACCTTTGGTGTAAATGGTGGTATCTAGCATGTTAGGATTTATTTAGACGCCACCAGTGGTAATGCAGCTTTTATTTTGAAAATAGATTACCTTTTAAGGGGTAGTTTATTTACCCCACTACACTCAAAGCACACACAATTTTTGTTTTTCTGTATTAATAAGACTGGGAAAAGAAAAGGAAGGGAGTAAAGTCACAGAAGTCTTGTTCCATTGTCCTCCATATGGCTATTAGGCTTGTATTTACTTAATGACGTGAACTACCTATGAAAGTGCAGCAGTGCTGCAGTGTTGTGGAAGTTTCAACCCTTTGGCTCTCTAGTAGTTCTGACGCTACTGAACTTTGGAATACTGTATGATGTTTAGCTCATGTCTTGGCCTTCTTTGTAGACAAACATTCATATTCATAGTTGCATTGTATACTGGCCTGTTACTGTAACTGTTTTCAGACATGAACAACCACTGCTTTCAGAGTGACTCACTAGTGTTATTTTGAAGCAGGAAATAACCATTTGTATTTGCACCTGCGTGCTGCATATTAATTATAGCATACTTGCAAGTGCTTTTCTTTTACCTGTAAAAATTCTGAAAGCTGGTCCAAACAACACTGCATATCAAGTTGTATTCTTACATATTACTGCATTATGCTCCTTTTAATCAAATAGCATGTTTTAGTTTTACTATAGTGTCTTTTGCTCTACGAATGTCACTTCCTTTGAATTCTTAATCGTGCTTTTAACATTATATTTAACAAATTATTTTGTTAGGTTACATTAAAATGTCATTCCTTTGAAAAGGCAAGGGATTCCTTCAGGATTTTAAAACGAAAGTAGTTTGTTCATCTAACAGGGGAAAACAGTTCTGAGTTGGTATTAAGAAAATAAGCAGTGGTTTCAGAAGAGGATTTATTTAGATTTGCACAGATGTTGATGGCACCTTTTATTTAAAAAAAATTAACAGTCCACAGTGCAGAGGAGAATTGACACAAAATGAGGGAAGTGTGGAAGTGTGTGCCTTTCAGTATCCACACTCTTGATTGGTGGTCGTTTTTCGAGTCGGACCCCTTGAATGCCTGAGCACATTTAATTTCTGTGGAGTGCCACGCGTGGCTAAAACAACTCTTTAATGTGCAATTAGTTTCTAGAACAAAATGTCTGTTTGTGAGGGGTATCTTTATATTGGGCTTTTATATTTTTTGAAATACATTTCTGTTAAATGTCACCATGTCACATTTACACTGTTGCCTTTTAAAAATCAAAGCCACTGATACTCTGATTATTACATCAAGATTTGAGCAGTATGTATAGTGATTGTGTTCTTAATAAGCATAATAGACTGCTTTTAGAAAATAAGAACATAAAAATATAGCTTTTGTATAAAGACTTTCTTTTGCTATAGTGAATATCGAGGATTTTTTTCCCCTGACTTTTAGGGAGGAATGAAAAGAAATGTCGCCCTCTAAAAGTAATTTTTTTTTATCTCATAGCAATAATGTCACCATTATTATCAGAGAGTAAATATGCCTTGTATGGAAAACAGACATGATTTCCTCTTGGGAATTCCCTTTATAACTTTAGTATTTTTTTCCATATGAGAAAGTTCCTATATTTTCAGATTATTTCACCTTGAACTTTTTTGAGCTTTTGTGCAATGTTTTATTGATCTGTTTTTGTATATTTTCATTTCACCTCATGTCTGTCCTCTTCCTTTTTGAATCAGCTATAGCACATTTTGAGTGTATTGGTTTAAAAAGTAGTTTTACTTGTTTCTTCATGAGTTTGTGTTAGTTTTAATCTTATGCTATGGAAATTATTCTGAAATTTATATTCTTGAAGCCTGCCTTAGTCTATCATTTGTCATTTTCTGTGGTTTAAGGAAGAACACTTCAGACAATATTTTGTGTAACATTTTGAGGAACAAAAACTTTTTTGCCTTCCCTTTTAAGGGAAGACCTACATTCAGTTAGCATCCGTTCTTTCAGTTAAGTTTCCTTAAATCGTCCAGCATGTGTTAGTGCTAGACCTGGGGGAAGGAGCTAACCCTTTTTACTGTTCTGAGCTACTATTGTCACCTGCTGTTGTACATACTGTTGTGTGTAAGGACATAAATATATTTATTATGTTTGTAAAATTCATTCTGTACAATTGCAGATCAAGGTTGCTCTTCTGTGATATATGGGATATTATGTTTTAAAGACCATCTTGAAATACAATTAGAGAACTTAGTATTTTGATGTACTAAGACCTATTTTAAGTTTAATATTTTACCTTTGCAAAAACTTTAATTAAAGATGTTATTTAAAAAAAATGTTGCTTGCTTTGCTTACTAGTCTACTATTGTTACACAGATAATAAAATCATAAAAGTTAAGAAAGGAAAATGCTTTACCTTGTTAATGAGGATACATTTAACAAAAATAAGGGCATCATTAAATCTTGTACTTTTAAAATATGTTGTTTTGAATGTTAGTCTCGATTATTAAACTTGCAAATTCTTAATAGCTTTAAAAAGTTCTATTTTCAAGGCACACAGGAATTTAGGTTGGGATAAGCTCAAACTAAGTGTAAGAATATAAAATTAACGTACTGTATTACATGGGTATTTCTACTCCAAAGCATAGATTACTTAGGATAAAATTACTCAACATTGTTTATTTGTCTAGCTAAATCCATTTCTCTTAGTTCAGAGTTTGTAAATAGTTGCTTATTAGGAGAATTGGATTATTGAGGTTTATATTATATACTGAATATATTTTGTGTTATTTTAGAAAGTATTAAATTAGGTATTTTAATTTTATAGTTAATTCAAATGAATCATAAAGAGCTTGCCTTTTTGTAATTTTTTTATCCTGTTCTAGACTACTTTATCAAGGAAACATGCAATTTTAACTTTTAAAATAATCATAATAAAGATATTTTATTTATTGCCAGCAAATCTTGTATTTTGCAGTTTAATTCAAGTTTCTACATTGATTATGATCTTACCCTTCGTGGTCTTTATTTCTCTGGATAGATTTTGAGGATTAAGTGAGATAATACAAAGCTCTTAGAATGGTTCTTGGTACATAGCACTCTTCGTAATTTGCTTAATGTCACAATTGTATAATTCAAAATGACTAGTAACTAGAGCTGAAAAAATTTTGTAAATGGTCAAAACAAAATGTGCGGTGATTAAGGAATGCCAGGGGAGAGATTTGGTCCCAACCAAACAGATGAAAGCCTGGGGGGTTAAGGCAGTGAAGTAGTGCATGTGGCTGCGATAGACAATGTTGGGGGAAGAAGAGAGAGGTGTAATGCAAGAGGGATAGTGTTTTATTTATTTATTTTGAAATAGGATCTCACGCCAGAGTCCTGGCTGGAGTATTTGTAGGAAATGAAACAGGTTTAAAAATCATGAATGTCTTCCTGACTGTTCAATCATAGATTTCCCTGCCATCTCAATTTCCTCTCCTCCTTTATGATGAGCATGTATTACTCCCCATGCCTTATCCTGCAAAGGTTATTTAGTCTATGTGTTCTGTAATATGTGGAGTGCATGCTTGTGACGTATACTTAATGTTATTTTCATGTCTGAAATTACCCATTTTGATATCCATATATTCCAGAGCATCCATGTAGAAATTCGCCTCCCACAACAAAGGAACATAGGGAGAGTTCCTGTTCTCAAATAGGATATTAAAAATGGAAGACCGGCAAGGTGTGGTGGTGCCCACCTGTAATCCCAGTACATTAGGAGGCTGAGGCAGGAGGACCACAGGATCCAGCCCAGGTTGGGCAATTTAGCTCTTCCTGGGGTGGGAGGTAAGCTCAGTGTGAAGGCCCTGGGTAGTACTTGACCTCTGCTACCGAGACAGAAAGGACAGGGGGAGGAGGCCGTTGAAAGATTTCATAGACACAGTTTTTAGTGAACCCGAAGACATGTTTGGAAAAAAAATTGGTTTTAATGGAAAGGGACCAGGATTAGGAAGATTCCTTTTTAATGAGTTTATTGGTACTTTTTAAGTATACAGCACAGTTACATTCATCATTGGGATCGTGTACTTTTACATGACAGATCTTGGTTCTCATTTTTTCCCATATCCCTGCCCTCCCTTTACCCCCTTCACCCTCCCCTCAAAAGACTTTGTTTCCATTTTTTCCTTTTCTCATTTTTTCTTGTCCCTTAATTCCTTTCCCCTACCCTTCCCATTTCAGCATATTTATTTATTAAGTGCTAAATAACCACCTCGCCTGCTCTTAATTCTCACAATAGGCTGGAAAGAGGTTTTTATTTTATAGAGATTTCTGGAAGCCAAGTAATATGCATAAGATCACATTGCAAATGATGATGCTTGGGACAGTTTGAAGAGATGCTTTGCCTTTGGCACAGTTTGGATGAAATAAGTCTTTCTGTCACCTCAGTGGCCTGGAGCAAATGGTTTCCCCCTTAGCTAGAAATGTTAATGAGAGGCTGCAGCCTTGTGGCAGCCTGGTCCTGGTTTCTGTTCAGAGGAGCATTCTGGGAACCCACTCTGAAAAGACAAGGGGATGAATGAAACACCACCAGGGATCGTGACTTCGCAGTCACCGGAGGGTGGTTCCTTGCTGACTTGGGAACCAGCAGTCAGTTACGGTTTTTTCCCTCCTCTATGGTTTAAATGATTAAAAGAAAAAAGTGAGGTTTTTTGTTTATTTTTTGTTTTTCCCAGCAGGAAAAGTGTTTTTGTTTGTGTGAGGCAGAGTTGTCTATACTTGGCTCACCTCAATTTTGGTGAGTCTGACAGCAACAGTTTTTTAAGCTTTTTGTCCTTGGACCAAATACCCAACATACACCACCAAAAGGAGGAGGTATTTGTGCTCAGTTTCAGACAGTGCACAATCAGCCGCCACCAAGGCAGAAACATCATGGCAGAGGGGTGTGATGGAACGAGCTGTTCACCTCATGGCAGCTGGGATACAGAGCAGGGAAGCAAGTGCGTGAGAAAGAGGGCACACAGAGCACACCTCCATGACCCATGCACACAACACCGGAAGTGTGCTTTACTAAAACCCCCGGGGCTTTCAACACACTGACAAACCAGTGTAATCATATTTCCTGAGCTTCCAATTGCAATCAAAGTGACTATCCTGGTAGCTAGACTTACAGATGCCTCTGTCAAGTTCAGTTTTCAAATAGTGCTCCAGGATGGCAGAGCCAAATCCATGGCTGTTGCTGGGTTTTGTTCTTTTACTTGGAAAAGAGCAGTGGGTCTGGAAGTTACCTGTGTAACCACCTACTTATAGTCAGGTACAGAAACACAACTGAAATTGGCTTAAGCAAAAATAGAAATACAGTGAGTCATAGAACTGGGCAGGCTTGAAGAAAAACTAGATTGAGCTCAAGTTATCGATGGTTTTCTTAAAGACATTGACGGTCAAGGGAGCCTCTTCTAGGAATGTTTGAAGTGAGACTTAAGCCATTTTAACTGAAGCATGAAAGAAATGGTGATCAAGGACTGAATTAGGGTACAATCATGGCTGCTGACATCAGCTGACACTGGGTTGTCCCCCATGTTAAATGACAAATCTGACGTCTGTTAGGGTTGAGTGACACACGGAGGAAATGGTAGGTCTCAGATTTGAGTAGTTCTCGATGGAGGGGTCTTTTCTGACTAGAGAGAAAACTCTTCATTCCAATCCCATGCCTGCTGCTGTGAACTGGTCACCAGGATCTTGGAATGGAAAATAAAGGGGGAACCACAGCAAATTTCACAGCCTATCTTCTTTACTATAGTTTTGCAGCTATCAGAGAATGGCTTAGAAAGTTACAGCAGGATTTATAACTAGTATTTAAATTCCACTAGTTTAAATGTTAGATGATAAAATTTTATTAACATTGTTTTACTTTTAATGATCTTTTTCTTCCTACTCAGAATAGACAATAAAAGCTCATTCTAAGAGAAAGAGAGAGAGTGAGGAAGGAAACCAATTGAAACTCAGGAACATTAAAAGACAAAGACTGTGATTCACTTTCCTTATCTGTAATAATGCATACCTTGAAAGATTGTTGAAAGGATTAAATGAGTTAAGTAAAACATTTCGGACACTACAGAGTGCATCTTATGTGGTATGTTAACTGTCATTGCCATTTTGGGCAGTGAAGTTTTTTAATAATTCATTACTGAGGAAGGACAAGATAGGGTAACCAAGTCAGATGTGTTCATATACCTGAGTGCCAGTATTATTGACATACATGCACTCTTTTTTTTTTCTTTTTTTTTTTTT